CCGGGCCCCGCCCCCGCCCCCCCCCCGTCGCCATGCAAATCAGCTTCCCTGCTATTGGCCATTGAGGTGGCCAGGAGGGCGAGGGGGCGGGGCCTTGGGGGGCTCGTCTAGAGGGGGCGGGGCTTGCGAGGGGTGAAAAAGAAGCGGGTGGATTTACGGGAACAAGCAGGGGATGCTTGAAAGAGGACGGGGGCCACCGTCGTGGAGTCTGGGTTGGGTTCCAAGAAATGCTTCGAGGTTGGACCAGCAGCAGGAGAGCTGAGAGGGAGACCGAAGTTAGCACTTCCTCATAGTGAAGACTGGGAGATACTGCACCTTGACAGGGAAGAATGGGAACCCGTGCACCCCAGGGAAGGATGGGGACCGGTGCGCGGCCCCTCCGCCTTGAGTCTCTCCAATACACACTCCCGGCCCGCGGAGTAGGGCAAGAGGCAACTCAAAGGACCGAAAGCCAGGACCCCCCACCCCGTCACGGCCGCAAGTGGAGCTTGGCAGGGACAGGGACTCTTGAGGAGGAAGTTCGCACTCTCCAAAGCCTCCCTGCTGAAGCCGCTGTCTGAAAGGCCAGGGGCCTCCCTGGCACCCTTCCTCCAAGTGCCTCGCACCCGCAGACCCTTTTCCAGCCCAGCTTCAGCGCTTGGCTTGTGCAAGGGAAGGGACCTCCGAGACACAGGCTGGTACTGAGAGACCCCTTCCCTGGGTGTGGGTGCAGAGATTTCTGCTTGAAATCTGCCTCCCCCTCTGCTTTGTGTGGTGAGATGGGGCATCCACAGAGGTCCTGCCTTTCCATGGGGGCCAGCCACCTCCAGGATCACTGTACCCGCCTGGAGGAGCTCAGCCCCAAAGCCCTGCTCGGGTTACAGTGTCCAAAAGCAGAGCTTCTTCTTTTTTTTTTTTTAATTTTAAAAATAAAAGGAGCAAAACATTAACAGACAGACAACATTTTACAACATAGCAAAAGAACAGTACAGACAATACGGAGTTATAAAGTGGTAGGGAATTAACAATGGTTGTTGTATTACATATTGATATCTTCAAAGTGGCTTCTCATGGAAACAGATATAGAAATGCAATACTGATCAACCAAAGACTCATTGACAGTTTCTTTCAGCATAGAAATAGAAGACAGAAGAAAAATTTTTGTTTTGTTTTGTCTTTATGAGACAGGGTCTCACTGTACAGTTCAGGCTGGCCTTGAGCTCACTTTGTAGCCCAGGCTGGTCTCGAACTCGCAAAGATCCTCCTGCCTCAGCCTCCCGAGTGCTGGGATTACAGGCGTGCGCCACCACACCCGGCTTCAAAAGTAGAGCTTTATTTACCAGCAGCGAAAGAAGTAGGGCAAGAGCAGACGAAGGGGTTGCGGCCGGGTGGGGCTTGTTCCCTCCCCCGTCCTCCCAGAGCCCACCCCAGAGCCCACCCCAGAGCCCACCAAAGGCCCTCTCACCTGCCTTCCGGGGAGCCCATTTCCTGGCTCAGCCTGGCTTCCCACCCTGGGCAGCTCCGCCATCCAGGGACCTAGCGGCAGGCCCTCCCTCTGTCCCTGCCTGGGACTTCAGGGCCTTCTGAGCTTGGAGAATTTCTTGGAAGGGACCTCTGCCCATCCCCCATGCACGAAGAGTTGGGGCTTCAGGTCCTTCCAGCCCCCTCCCCAGTTCGCTGTGTGCCCTGGGGCAGCAAAGGACATCTGCCAGAGCCTTGATTTCCTCACCTGCGAGGTGGGGACCGCGCCGCCTTGGCTATTCTGTCCTCACTCCGGAGAGTGGCAGGTGGCAGCTAGGGGTGCCCAGCCCAGGCAGACAGGCGCCGTGAGCGCCTGTGCTTCCCTCTTCTCTTCCCAGAGGCTTGTGCCCTCCCACCACTTCTGAAGCAGAAGGAGAAAAGCATCTTTCTCCTTGGCCGTTTGGGGCCTGCTGGGCCTTGGGGGACCAAGGAAAAGCGTTTCCCACTCATCCCAGCAAGAATTCCCAGGGGTACCAAGGAAAACCAGGAGGGAAGGTGGTGGGCCCTAGGGACATCTGGCCTGGGGGCCCTCAGAAGCCTAAGGACCCATGACCTCTGGGCGTCCTTGCTGGCTGCAGCTTGTATGTGTCAGCTCGGGCTCCAGGAACGAGTCTGAGTCATTGTCTCCGAGCTGAGGACGCCCACTGCAGTGGCTCTGAGACTGGGCAGGAGCAGCCAGGCAGCATCTCCAGCGGGAGGACCCTCTCCTCGCTCAGCTCAGGTTGGGGCAAGGAGGAGGTGGCAGCAACACAAAAGCCTGTAGGCCCCAGGGAAGTGGCAGTCGTGCCGGAGAAGGGCTCCCTCCCTCACACTGGCAGAGCCTGTGACAGTGACAGTGGCCCCCAGGGGCAGGGACAGGGGCCTCAAGCTCCGCGGTGCTGGCCAGAGGGGTGGCCTGCAGAACTTCGAAGTTTCTGTGGCACGAGGTCCAAGACAGTAAGAGCCCGGTCTGCATCCAGCTCCTGTCCTTTCTGTTCTGTGACTTGAAGAGACTTCCTGCTCATTTGTTTATATTTGTTGCATGTCTTGGGACAGGGTCTCACTGTGCAGCCCCAGCTGGCCTCGAACAGCCAGGGACCCTCTCGCCTTGGGCTTTAGAGTACTGGGGTTACAGACGCGCACCACCTCCAAGCTCTGCCCGGGTTCATTCTTTTTAGATTAGCAGAGTTGCATTAGGTTAGGCAGAAACAAGGAGTTGGTGAAAATACTGTAGCGGCCATGATGGTTTACCTCAGTTTTCGGGCGAGGATGAAGAGTATGCACAAGTAAAGAACCAGACAGAGTGAGAACAAAGTGGATATTGTTCTTGTAGGTGTGTGTGCATGTAACTGTGAGATTGAATGCTGGGTGGTCTACCACTGAGCTACATTCCCTGTCTTTTTTATTTTATTTTGAGACAGGGTCTCGATAAATTGCCCAGTCAGGATTCAAGCTTTCAATCCTCCTGCCTCAGCCTCCTAAATAACTGGAATTACAAACATATGCCACCCCACCTGGCATGTTCTTGGGGATTCCTAACCTAGTATTTTTTTTTTTCTTTCTAACCTAGTATTTTGTGGCTGAGCTTCAGGGAGTTCATGAACCTCTTGAAATGGGGAGATTTTGGAGAATAAACAGACCATAGTGCTCATATCTTTGATCCCAGCACTCAATTTAATGGCTGAGCAAGACCCTGTCTCAAAAAGGGAAAAAAAGGGGCTGGGGATTTAGCTCAGTGGCATAGCGCCTGCCTGGCAAGCTCAAGGTCGTGAGTTCAATTCCTGGTAGCAAATAAATAAATAAATAAATAAATAAATAAATAAATAAATAAAAGATGGGTGTGGTGGTGCACACCTGTAATCCTAGCACTCAGGAGGCTGAGGCAGGAGGGTCACCAAGAGTTCGACACCAGGCTGAGCTACATAGTGAGTTCAAGGCCTACCTGGACAACATAGTGAGACCCTGCTTCAAGAAAAAAACTGAGGGCTGGGGGTATAGTTCAATGGCATGGGGTCTGCCTGGCAAGTACCAGGTCCTGTGTTCGATTCCCAGTACCAAAAAAATAGAAAAGAAAAACCCCCAAACAAAAACCCAACCCAACAAAACAAAACAGCCGGGGATGTAGCTCAGTGCCAAGGCCCTGAGATTAACCCCTAGTACTGGAGGATAATAAACATTCTCTGGGTAGAGAGCAGAACATGGATGGCAGATGGTTTTCCTACTTCTGGTATGCAGAGGTTTCTCTTGGTCCTTAGAGCATACAAGATTCACAAAGGCCGCAAAGCCCTGGGCTGGGTGGTCCTAGGGCCAGCCTTCAGTGTGTGGGGGCCGATTCTCCTTCCTGCCATCCTTTCTCCTGCCCATGCCCTCATGCGGTGTCCTCTGGCTTCCAGGGGTCAAGGACAAGGACAGCTCTGAGGGGCTCGACTCCCCTCCTGGTCAGCTGGGTCTGCACTCCCAGCTGGGCTGGGGAGAGGGCACCTGGCCAGGCTCAGCAGGGTGGGGTGCACAGACCCCCGCAGACCTGGCCTCACCCCAAGCCCGCATCTTCCCATCCCCTGAGGCCCTGGAGGCAGACACTGCTCTGAGGCTCTCAGCCCAGCGCAGGCAGTAGTCATTACGGTTTTATGGAAATCCAACAGGCTCTTACGCAAGCACCTGACACACTTCCTGGCCAGGTCCCCAGGGGCTGGAGGAGTGCCCCCCCTACTGCTGCCACCAGCCCCTGGCGCCTGGGACTCTGGCGTAGAGCCACCCTTCTGCCGCCTGTGGCACTGTCCCTAACCCGCCCCGGGCGAGCTGCTCCCCGCCTCTGGGCCTCAGGCTTCCTGGAAGGGAACATCATGGACCCTGGCATGTGCCGCCCCGTGCCCTCCTCTGCCCCGCATGTCCACTGCTCGCTGGGAGGGCTATCCTCATGATGGAGTTGGGGACATTTGTTCCTCCTCAATTCGGGAGTCCTTTCCCCTTGCTCTGTTGCTCTTCTCCTTGATTCTGGGGGCCAGGGACGCAGGAGACACCGGCTGATGCCCTCATGGCCCTCTTGCGCCAGCCTGTGCTGACCTCTGCTTCCTCTGTTGTCCACCCCCCACCCCCACAAGCGACTGTCGCCAAGGTAACAGCAAGGGCACTGGCTAGGGGCCAGTGAGGGAGAGGGGTCAGTGGAGGGAAGGGCAGGGGTTAGAAGTTTGGGGGAATGAGCACTGAGCCCCCCAAGTCTCCTGGGGGGAGCTTCTGCTGGAGGGGGCTGGAGCAGAGAGGGGGGCTGCGGCTGGGCATGGGCAGAGGCGGGAAGACGAGGTGAGGGCACCGCAGGCTCAAGGTGAGTGG